GTGTTAATTTCCTAGGGAGGCCAAAACACATTACCGCAACTGGGTGGCTTAAAAAGACAGAAATTTATTCTCTGGCAGTTCTGCAGGCTACCAGTCTGAAATCAAGGTGTCAGCGAGGTTGGTTCCTTCTGGTGAGCTCTGAGGGAGAGTCTATTACAAGTTTCTGGAGGTTGCCAGTAGTCATTGGTGGCTTTTGTTGGGTTGTAGATACATCACTCCAATCACTTCCTCCTTCATCCGATGGTGCTCTTACTGTGTGTCTGTGTGTCCGATATTCCTCTTCTTATAACGACACCATTCACTGGATTAGTGGCGTATGACTAATCTTAATGCTGCGGGACCTCATCTTAACTTGACTTTTTGGTTTTTATTTTATGTTTTTGCAAAGACCCTATTTCCAAATAAAGTCACATTCACAGGTACTGGGGCTCAGAACTTGAGCATATCTTTAGGGGCGAAACTGAACCCACAACAACTGCTCTTGTACATTTTGATTACTCCAATATTCTACAATTTTCAATGAAAAATTAGGACACACAGATAAGCAGACATTTCCTCTTATTTCTCTGAGAAAACAAAGGCCATAGCTGGGCGCCGTGGCTCTCGCCTGTAATCCCAGCACTTTGGGAGGCTGAGGCAGGTGGATCACCTGAGGTCAGGAGTTTGAGACCAGTCTGACCAACATGGTGAAACCCAGTCTCTACTAAAAATACAAAAATTTAGCTGGGCACGGTGTGTGCCCGTAATCCCAGCTACTCAGGAGGCTGAGGCAGGAGAATTGCTAGATCCCAGGAGGCAGAGGTTGCAGTGAGCCAGTATCACGCCACTGCACTCCAGCCTGGGGGACACAGCGAGACTCCAATTCAAATAATAATTTAAAAAATGTAGAAAAAAGAAAACAAGGGCCGTGAGATAGGAGCTCCTCTGTGAACCACCTGACACCCATCCCGGCTTTCTCTTCCTTCTCTCTTGTAATAATGAAAGGACATATCAGCCCCTTCCCAGGGCTAACCCTCCACTGAGCAGATGGAACCATTCTCTTGAAACATTTTATCTGAAGATGTTACTTCTACTGCTGTTGCCTCTCTTCATCCCGCATCAACAACCATTTTTTAAAAAAATCTTTGCTTCTAATGGAATAACATACAAACATACACAAGAATCATCCATCTTAAAAACGTCACAGACAAGGAACTCCCATCTTAAAAAATGTACATAGATAAATAAGCTTCCTTGGCCTCATTTCCCCTTCAGTCCCATTCTTGTGCATCCTGCCCCCACAGCAAATGCTATTTCAAGAATCACCTCTACTCACATCCTGAGCTCCCATTCCCTCCTTATTCCTCTGGCATCAGGCTTTTATCCCCATCATGCCCCTGATTTGCTCTTAAGATGACAGGAAACCTCCACGTCACCAAATCCAGTAGTCAATATGCTAAGCTCTCATCACTCAACCTCTTAGTGTTTGACACAGCTGAGGACTCTCCATTTCTTGCAATAAGGTCTTCGGTCTTCTGTGTGACCACCCTCTCCTAGAAATGCTCCTTCTTGGCTTCTTTTGTGAGATCTTCTTCCTATCAGGATCCCACAAGAGTGCTCCAGGGCCCAGGCCCTGAATGGCTTCTCTATCCACATGCCAGCCCCATGGCATCTAAATGCAGGTAACTCCCAATCCCATGTATATACTGAGACACACACAGGGTTGTCCGATAGACATCTTAAGGGTAAGGTGTCCAAAATTTCATATGTCCTGAGCTTCCTTCAACCCCTGCACCTCTAAATCTTCTCCATCTCAGGCAATGTCAGCTCAGTTCACACAGTGTGTTGACATCATGTCCCTGCCATAACCGTTAGTTTTCTCCATTTTCTTTACACACTCCATGCCATCCATCAGCAAAAACTATCAATCCTTTGAAAACATACCTGAAGTCCCACCACCTCTAAAGAATGATTGAAAAAAAAAATCACTGGGTCAAATTTGTTAGGTTCCATCATGGCACAGAAGAAAGTAGAAAGAACCAAAGCGAAAGCAGCCACTTAGACAGATGAAAAGATGCCCAAACTCCTTCCATGTGTCCCTGCTGGCACAAATAGAGCTAATAATGGATGCTGCAGCAAGAGATTGGTGCTAAGAAATAACCTTAGAAAAAGGTAAGAAATAGTCTTCTCCAGCAAACTTCACTAAGTAAGACTCAGCCTCCTCTGCAGGGGTCAAACTCTGCTGGCAGAGAAGCTACAGGTAGATTCCAGCACCAGGAAGACAGGTCCCTGCTGAGAGAATACTGCAGAACAAAGAAGGGGCTCTTCCCTACTACCTTGCTGAAAACCTTATGAATGATCTTTTGTGGCTGGAGATTCCTCCAGAGGCTGAGAATACATCAGATGAGAAATGGCTGCTGGGCCTGAATGTCAGGGGATGAATTCCACTGGGCCACAGAGCAGCTGTGTGCCCTCTCTTTCCTGTTTGCGTCCATGACTTGGCTATAGAATGGACACGACACCACTGGGACTTCTTTCATAGGATTCTTTGTGAGGATTAAATGACGTGTGTGTCCCAAGGCCCTTAGTCCAGTGCTTGGCATATACAAGGGCTGGACACAAAGTAGATTAACAGCAATTCTGAACAGGGATGCCATGCACCCCATTAAACTTTCTCACGTTTTCACTTCTCCCATGAGCAAAATGCACACCTTCACAAGTATCCATGAAGCAACCATTCAGTGCCAGATTCCAGCAAAGATATAATCATGTGATTTGCCTTCTTGGCTTCTAATGACCTGCATGTTTCACCCTCAAATCAGGGAGACTGAGTCCGACTGAAAATATTGAAAACAATCTGTCCGTGGTTATGGCCATCAAAAACCTCTTATCACAAACACCTGCTTACTTTTCTTTATGTCACTAATTGCTAGATGGAAATTCTTACTTATACATATGCTTATCAGAGTGTTGTCTGTCTCTTCACCCTTTTATGTCAGCTTCATGACTGCAGAGCTTTTGTTCGTTGTCACTTTTTTGTCTGCTGGGACCTCAGCATCTAGAACAGTGCTATGCACATGGTAGGTTCTCAATAAATACCCCAGCAATTAATTGAGTCAGAAAAGGGTAACATCCTGAACCATTCCAGGCAACCTGAGAAAGGATCTGGTTTTAAGGCAATTCACACCTAATCTGAATACTTTGCTTTCCTATGTGCATCTGTCTAAACAGTATTTGGCCTCATTCAGGATAATGTTACAGCCGGCTGTAAACGTAAGAACTGTAGCTCCGAAGACACTAGATCCCAGCTCAACTCAGCTTTTTCCTGATTTTGCAACCTATCCCCAGGAGTCTGACCACAGCAGAAACTTATAATGATTACAGACCAATATGTTGGGTTCTCTTGCATATCAGTGACTCAGTCTCCCTTGTGTACATGAGCTGCGCCATGGAGTAAAATGTTACTCCTTCCATTACAAAAGCTACACTGGAAATAAGTATGGACCAGTGTTTAGACAAACATTTCTATAAAAATAAAGTGACAAGGTTTAGATGACATGTACCAATACCTATATTATTCATTATGATTTAATGGATAGGGACAATTCTCATCCATGGGAATTTTGGGATCCTCATGGGATGGGAGTTTTCCCAATCCATACCTTTGTTTTTCAAAACACAATGAGTGTATAGATTGCTTTTATTTGTTACAAAATGTCAATATCTGCTCTCTGTTGTCTTAGCTTGGTCCGCTATTACACAGTACCACGGACATTTATATTGCACAGTTCTGGAGAATGGGAGGTCCAAGAAGAAAGTGCTGATTGATTGGGTTCTGGGCAAGGACTCTCTTTCTGGCTCAAAGATTGTCAACTTCTGGCTGTTTCCTCCCATGGAGGAGTGGGAGCAAATGCTGGCTTCTCTTCCTCTTCTTCTAAGGATACTAATCCCATTATGGGGCTCTACTCTCATGACCCTATCTAAGCCTAATAGCCTCCCAAAGGCCCCACTTCCATCTACGATCACATTGGGGACTACGGCTTCAACAAAGGAATTTTTGGGAAACACAGATGTTCAGTCCCCCTAACCACTGTGAGGTATGTTCTTTATGCTGTCAAAATAACTTGTACATTTCCTTTTGTTTCCTTTCTATTTATTTATTTATTTATTTATTTTTGAGATGGAGTCTCCCTATGTCACCCAGGCTGGAGTGCAGTGGTGCAATTTTGGCTTACTGCTACAACCTCGGCCTCCTGGATTCAAAGGATTCTCTTGCTTCAGCCTCCCCGAGTAGCTAGGACTACAGGCGCGTGCCACCACGCCCACGTACATTTTCTTGTATTTTTAGTAGAGATGAGGTTTCACCATGTTGACCAGGCTGGTGTAAAACTCTTGACCTCAGGTGATCTGCCCACCTTGGCCTCCCAAAATGCTGGGATTACAGGCATGAGCCATGTGCCTGGCCACCTTTTGTTTTCCTTCAATGGAACTTCAACAATGGTGAAATTATGAATCACAGGACTCAGGGTAAGTTCACAATGACACTCAAGCTATGCCCAAAGGTCTGAATATATCCTTTTCCCTAGGTCACAGCTGCCTGGCTAAATGTTCTGTTAGACGAAAGCATGAAGTTTCATGGGGTGTACTTGTGGGATTTTAGTATAACCCTTCCCAGTGGGTAAGCAGCTTGTCCTTCCCTTGAGGGACTCTGTGTTTGTACATTTCTTCATGACTTCAACTATTCTGCACCTCTGCAACAAAGTGGCTCACAGAGGCTCATGTACAGAAGAGTCAGCTTTCTAAGGTTGTTTGTGTTGTTTAAAAATCGACAGAGGTCTTAATGCATTGCTCAACAATTTTATTCCTAAGGAACCAGTGATGAATGAATCACAGCTAAACATCGTTGCTGGCCCGATCATTCAGTCATTGAACTTAACATTTTATCTGCCCCTTGAGTCTTCCAGGCACTCTTCTAAGTGCTTGGTGATGCTTTGATGAAAACAGAAAAAACAAACAAACAAAGAAAAAAAAACAAAAAACAAACAAACAAACAAAAAACAGACCAGAAGACATCCTGCCATTGTGGAGTTTACATTCTAGTACGGGGAAGAAGGAACAAGGGAAACAATAAACATCGCAAGTTATGAGGGTGACAGAAGATGAAAGAGGCTATAGAGCAATACAGATTGTACAGACAGCATAACGGGGCTCAAAACTGAAGTCAAATTGTAACTTTAAATCATGCCTTTAACATGCTGTCCCTGCTGTCTTTTCAGTTAAACGCTTTGGCTCCGACGTTCCCTTTTGGGCCGTCCCAGGCCTCTGACATCGTGGAATCTGCTGCTCCTAATGAGAGACATAAAATTCAAATTTAATGGCAGTGTTCATTTTAACTAAGAACGCCTTTCCTTCAGTGACTAGCAAGCTAATTTAGCATGCTTTTTAATTGATAAGTTATTTCCCTAAGCTGGGTTCATGGTCCAATTGAACTGGCCAGTATCTCAATTAGATTTGCCAGGAAAGTCATATATAAAATACTGTTTAGGCTTACTAAACTAACCTTTTCAGTTAAACCAACCCCTTTACTGCTCATAAAGGAAAGATAAACAGATTTAAATGCTTTGTCATTACAATTTTTGCGCTGGGGTGATAGAAACCGCTCTCCAATTACAGCAGAACTGAATGTTCTCCACCATGACCACATTGACGATATCGTCTACTTGAGGTACGTATCCATCAGGGATTTTCACAGACTCCAAGGTGAAAAAGATATTATAATCTATCACCCCATTTCTTCCATGTACGCTAGTAATGCGGACCTGTGAGTATAAATAATGGAAATGATTATGAAAAAGTCTGATAATCACTGTAACCTGCTGTGCACCTCCTCCATTCTGGGTCCTGCATGAGTGCAGGTGACTGATGCAAATCAATGATTCCCAACCTGGTTGGCTCATTGCTAATACCAGGGGTACTTTGTAAGAATACCCATGTCCATGCTCCACCTCAGACCAATTAAATCAGATTCTCCAGGGATGAGACCGGGATCTCTGATGAGAAATCCAGCTCTAAATATTACCCAAATATGTCCATTACCCTCTATTGCCCTGAATTGCCTGCTCATAGTCAGACTCCAATAACCAAATCATTCTCAGCATTTACTGGTAAGCTCAAGTCCCACAACATACTCCGTTCATTCTTTCCCTACAATTTTTCTGGCACAAAGATTGTTTTTCTTCCTCCTGTTGTTGGAAGATTCTAATAACATTTGGGTATCGAGTAAAATGCACAATTTAGAACTTAATCATGTGCTTGTTCCACATAATTTTCTAATTATTTCCTTTGGGAAGTCCTGCCTTTTCAATAAGAAAAGTGGCTCCTTCGTTGGCAAAGAATGTATTTCTTCATATTTTCTGGAAATCCCAATACACCCAACAGAATCCTGGGCACAAAAATTACCACCAAAGGAAGTGTTATCAGAAACTGATGACGGGAGGAACCGGAAAGAAATTACCTCTTCCACATGAATACAACGGGTGGGCTTCACAGAGCTTGCCTTGATGTTTGAGATGCTTAGCTCGGTGGCATATTCAACTTCTAACAAGTCACCCTTATAAGGCACAAAATCTAAAACAGTCATGGAGAAATATGAGTGTCATGATCTCTTAACTAGGTCACGTTTAATTTCACACGTTATTTGATAGTGTACTACTTTAAAGTCAGTTCTGCTAGAACTAAAGTCCATTTTGCACATATTTAAACAGATACACTGTAAATCTCTAAGTCCGAAAAGATGTTTATAAGTCTTAGGCATTGATTCTCCTCTACTGATTTAACAAAGTCAAATGGAGGAAAGTGTGAACTATGCATCACAGTTAATCTAAGGGAGCAGCACAGGATTTACTAAACAAACAAGTTGTTCCTGTTCACAACTCCTTAGTGAGAGGCAGTCAAAAGCATAGGTAAGAGCACAAGTTTGAACCTGGCTACGTGGCTTCGAATCTTGACACTGCCACTCACTCAGTTGGCAACCTTAGCCAAGGTGCTTAATCTGTCTGTGCCTCATTTTCTTCATCTATAAAATGAGAAGCACGATAAGTAGCCTTCATGATACACAGCTGCTGTGAGAATTAGTTGATGTGTGCGATACACACAGAATCATTGCTGGTGCATAGTAACCACCAAATAACTGTTGACTGGTAGTAGTGGTTGCAGTACCACCAGGAAATGTTACTTTCAGAATTTCCCCTGATGTTGTGTTCAGCTGATGAACTCTTAAGTCTGTGCCTTACGGGTTATAGTTAAGACCACGGAGTTTCAAACAGAAGTTTACAGTAAGTTAAAAGTGAGTCACAGGATAACAAAGGTACATGAAAGAATGTGGAGCAAATGAAAATCCCAACTCAATCCTTAGGTCCTCCACTTCTCCACTTTCATTCACATCTCCATCACCTCTCACCAGGAATATTACAACATTATCCCGACTGATTTCCTGACTCCACTCTTCCCCTCATAGTCTCTTCTTGACGAAGCAGACAGAGTCAACATCTTAAAACAAAATTCAGGTCAGAGTCCTGCTTTTGCACAAAAGAAACAAACTAGCAAGCTGCCCGGGGAAGCAGAACTAATCTCCCCCTTTTTACCCAAGCTATATGACAGCTGCAATAGACAAAAGTAACAAAAAAAAAGTGTATCTTTGGGTATAAGCTAAATATTAGAACACATCTGCTGATTACAAAAAGAATTCAACAACACACACACACACACACACACACACAGGGAGAGAGACAAGGCACTATCTCCAATTCTGTTTAAAGCATTTGAAGTGCATTCTTTTAAAATTTGGTAGTCTACTCTGTCAGAGAAACTTCTCTAGTAACCAACTACAGAAATGATCCCTGCAAGCATAGTCTCTGAAGGGTATTAAAAATAGTGTCTCTATGTACTTGTAGGATTGTTTTCTTGATTAGAAATTAAATTATCATGTGAATGAAAAATATACCCAGGCATTACTGAGGGAATCAAACAAACGAACACACAATAGACGACAGCAGACATTTTAAAATACTGCCTATTTGCCCCTATATTGTACATAATTTCAACTGGAAAGGTCTACCTCTAATATTGAAGAGCCATTGACTGAAGCCAAGTACACTGTAAAGGTTGTTCTAGGACTAAAATCTTCTCAAAAAATTAAGAATTACATCATATATCTCAAAATGTAAATCATACCTTCAGCAGCAATGTCTATGGAGCAATAAATGCTGTCACCAACATAAATAGTATCTTCATTTATAGAAGTAACACATGCAACTAAAAGTCTGGTTCCTGAGTCTGAGGGTCCAGCACCGTAAAGACAGTGAGGCACAACATCCACCTGTAAGATTTACGAAAGAGTTACTTCAAAAATAATACAAATTTAAGCATGAGAACTTACATGATTAAAACACTGGTATCCAAAAATATTTTCAACAGCCATCCTAAACACTAGTGAATATAGTTCATGTGGTAAATGGACCACAGACTTGAGATGATGGTAAAAATCATGTGTGTGCTTCATGAATTGTGAAATGTATCCCAAAATATTAATTGCATACCCAAGTTTAATGCCCTCGAACCACTAGATTCCCAGATTTAAAAAATACCATCCATTACCTGCAGGAATTTGCAGTGAAATGACAGTAAAGTGGAAAGATACCTAGTCATAAGCAAGTTGCGATGAAGGATATAACACTAGCTCAAAGACGGTTTCTGTGAATTATCTAGAGGGAGAACATTTCAGACAGGGAGAAAATAGCGGCATTGCTTGGGGGAAGTCAGATTTGTGTTGGGTTGTGAAAGAAGACAGAGGTGTAACCTTGTAAACAGGGGTAGAGGAGCAGGGAGACAGAGAGGAAAAACAACACAATTTAGGAGCCTAGGGAGCAAAACCCTAACATTCGAGATCCAGGCCTAGGAGACAGAAACACAAGATAAAGTTGGAACAATACCCTCAACTGGGGGAGTTTCAATAAACCAAGTCAAATTAGGGCTTTACTTTATCTACAATAGAGAGGCATACAAACCTTTTTCCTTATTGGAAGTGTAATAGTCCTTATTTTATAATCCTTAAAACTTACAGAAGTAATGCAAGTTCATTATACTAAAAGTAGAAAAAAAAAGCAGATAAACAGACAGCAAAAAGCAGTTACCCCATAATCCATATTCCATTACCAAGAGACCACCAGGGACTATATTTTTGCAGTAACACTCATCCTTATGTTTTCACCTGTGCACAAATACATATATACCAGTTTTTAAAGCAAATTAGCACTGTATTTGGTATTAAAATATCACCTAAAATGAACACAAAAGTTTCTAAATAACACGAGAAGGGAAGGAGTCATAGGGAATCCCAGTTAATGGATGTGCTGTAATTTATTAACCCAATTCCACATAATTAGACATTTTGCTTGTGTTCTAACATTTGGACTACTTGTCTGACTTAACTATAGGATAAACTCCTAGGGTTGGAATTTTTTGTTTAAAGACTTCTGATGTAAACTTGAGCCACTGAGTCGTAAATGATTTTCATGGTTTTAAAAATACCCTAGTTTGCTGCTATTCACATTTCTTAACTGCTGTCTTTCCAGCTGTCAATACCAATCTGATGTTTATTTCCCCCTCACTTACTGTCATGAGGAATGAGGCATTAGCTTCCTGTCCACTATCTACCACCACTTCCATCGGTATCCCAGTGGATGACCCACAGCACCCTTAGAGCTCTCTGTTCTTTGACTCCATACCAACTCACAGACAAACTGCAGACTAAAGCTTTGCCCATGTTTCGTGGCTCCCAGCACTGTTTCTTATGCCTTGGAAACACCACCAACACAACAGCAGGTACACACAGTTACAAATGTTTGTGATAATGCGTTGTATGACGTAAGTGGCATTTCAATACGATAGGGGCAAAGTGGATTATCCAATTAATGTTGAGGGCAACTGAATAGCCAGTAGTGAAACAAGACTCGGATCCTTCTCTCAGTCATACACACGGAAAACAAACCCAGGCTGACTGTATGTTTAGATATAAATAAATTAATGACTTTCAGAAGAAAAGCTAAGTGAATACTCGTGTAAATTATGTGTTAGAATTAGTCTAAGGATACTTCCTGAACACAGAAGTCACATGGACAAGATGGACATATTTATAGTATGTAAAAATTAAACAGATGGAGGAGGAGGGGAGCAAGATGGAGAAAAGGGACTGTCCAGTGATCGTCCTCTTGCAGAAACATCAATGTGAAAAACTATCCTTGTATGAAAATACCGTCACTTGAGAGAAAGAAACCAGGTGAGAGGCCATGGTACCCGGTTATAGCATGAAAATAAGAAAAGATGCATTGAAGAGGGTAGTAAAGACAGTTTTACATTACCCACATCACCCCTTCCCCAACCTTCAACAGCACAGCATGGAGACAGATACCATCCACCTGGAGGAAAGAGAGTAGCAAGCATAGGACATTGCCTTGGAACCTAATAGCAGGCCTTTCACACTATATGCCACCACTTGACAGACGCCCATGTTCCCTGACTCCAAGATAGTACTTGTGGACCAAATCTCTAGACTCACCCTGGCACCAGACAGGAAGCCATAGCCACAGCAAAACAAACTCAATACCCGGCCCACATCCCTGCCAGTGATTCCACTGGCCTTATGCTCAGAATATTCTACCACAACAGGGAGTTGTCAGTGAATGGAGCCTTGGATTCCAGTCTTGCAAGGCACCAGACTCAATAGCTAAGGGAGTGCATGCCATTGAAGTATCTGTCACTGTGTCCCTGGGATTAGGAAGCCCCCCAGTGCTTCAATAGCTGCAGTGTTCACAAGCATAGGACCAAAAGAGACCTATGTAGAGTTTCTGGACAGGCTTACTGCTAAAGGATGTCCCCTAAAAGCTAGACTGCAAAGACTGAAATGAATAACTACTTCTTCAATATGCAGATATAAACACATGACCACAAAGATCAAGAACAATAAGGAAAACATGACATCACCAAACTGACAAAACAAGGTGCCAGCAATTGACCCTGGAGAGATAGGAATGTATGAGTTATTTAACGAATAATTCAAAATACCTATTTTCGGAATGCTCTGTGAACTTCAAAAATAATTACAGAGAAATGATTGAGAATTTACCAGAGTAATTTGAGAGAAAGATTGAAGGAACTTAAAAAACCAAACAAATCCTGAAATTGAAAAATAAAACAAAGGAAGTACATAATAGAGAACATCCACAGGAAAACTGATCGAGCAAAATAAAGAATCTGTAAACTTGGAGACAGCTTCACTGAAAATATACAGTGAAGGAGACAAAAGAAAAAAGAGGGACACAAAAGGAAAAAAAATTATTGGATTTTTGGACAATATCAACAGGGCAATAGTATGAGTCATTCACATTCAAGAGGAAGGAGAGATTGAAAAAGGGGTAGAAAGATTAAAAAATAATAATGGAGAGTCATCCAAGCCCAGAGAAAGTTACAAACGTCTAGGTACTGGAAGACCAAAGTTCTGCAGTAAGATACGATCCAAATAGATTACCTCATGACATATTAAAATCGAAGTGTCAAAGATGAAAGAGAAAGAGAGGATCCCGACAGCTGCAAGAGGAAAGACGTGAATCACATACGAGGCAGTTGCAATATGCCTACCAGAACACTTCGCAGCAGAAGCGTAATAGGCCAGGAGAGAGTGGGATGATATATTCAAAGAGCTGAAGGGAAAAAAAAAATCTCTAACCAAGAATAATGTACCAAGAAGTGAAGGGGAGATAAAGACTTTTACAGAGAAATCACAGCTGAGAAACTTCCTCACCGCCACAACTGTCTTACAAGAAAGCCTATGGAGAGTTTTTCCAGCTGACATAAGTGATGCTCATGAGTAATGCAAAAACATCTGGAGGTATAAAATCACTAGTGAAAGTAACCACACCAATTCAGAACACTCTAATATGGTAACAATGGTGTCCAGATCTCTTATATTTTTCACATAATGGTTAAGGAACGGAACTAGTAAAAATAAAATAAGTACAATAATTTGTTAAGGGATATAAAACATAAACAGGTGTAAAGTGTAAAACAGAAAACTGAAAATCCAGGGGTGGAGTTAAATGGTAGAGTGTTTTTATTTTGTGATCAAAGTTATGTTATCAGTAAAATCAACTGTCGTGATTATGTTTTTGTAAGCCTCATGCTAACCACAAAGAAAAAAATCATGTAATAGACACATTTTAAAATATCAAGGAAACAAAACATACTAATAGAGAAAAATCTCTTATCCATCAAGACAGACAGTAAAAGAGGAAGAAAGGCAGAAATTACCTACAAAATAAGTAGAAAAAAATTGTCTAAATGACAACAGTAAATCCTTACCTATCAATAATTACCTTGATAGAAATGGATGACATTCTCCAACTAAAATACACAGAGTAGCTGAATGGATTAAAAACAACAATAACCAAACCTATGAGAGACCCACTTCTCCTTAAAGGACATTCGTAAACTGAAAGTGAAGACGTGGAAAAAGACATTCTTCCATGTAAAGGGAAACCAAAAGAGAGCAAGAGCAGCTAAACTGATTTCAAATAAAATAGGCTTTAAATCGCAAACTGTAAAAAGAAACCAAGAAGATCATTATATAATGATGAAGGGGTCAATTCATCAAGAGGATATAATGATTTTCAAAAATATGCACCCAACATAGCAGCACCTAAATATATGAAGCAAATATTAAGATCTAAATGGTGAGATAGAGTGTAATGCAATAATAGTAGGTGACTTCAATATCCAACTTGCAACAATGAATAGATTGTCCAGACAGAACATTGACCCCACAAAAAGTGAGATTTATCTGCACTCCGGAGCAAATGAACCTAACAGTCATTTACAGAATATTCCATCCAAATGCTGCAAAACACATATTCTTTCCAACTGCATGTGGAACATTCTGGAGGATAGATTATGGGGCAGGCCACAAAACAGGTACTAGCAAATTAACGGAGTTTGAAATAACATCAAATCACTTCTCTAACCACAATGGTAAAACACTAGGAATCAATAAAAGAAGGAACTTTGGAAACTTTAAAAGTAGATGGAAATTAAACAACATGCTCCTAAATAACCAAAGGGTCAATGAGGAAATTTAAAGAAAAGTGTAAAACATTTCTTGAGATAAAGCAAAATGAAGGCACAACACATGAAAACCCATGAAATACAGCAAAAGCAATTCTAAAAGTGAAGTTTACATCAATAAAGCCTATCTCAGAAGAAAAGATACATCTTAAATAACCTCACACTGCACCTTGAGGAACAAGAAAAAAATATAATTCAAAAGTAGTAGGACATAAATCATAAAGGTCACAGCAGAAATAAATGAAATAGACATGAGAAGAACAATACAAATATCAATGAAACTATGAGTTGGTTTCTTGAAGACGTAAAGTAAATCAACAAAACTTTAGCTAGACTAAGGAAAAAAGAGAGAAGATTCAAATAACTAAAATCAAAGATGAAAAAGGAGACAGCACAACTGACATCACCAAAACAAAACGTATCATAAGGAAGATTATGAACAATCATCTGCCTACAAATAGTACAAGTTAGAAGAAATGGATACATTCCTGGACACATACAACCTGCCGAGATGTAATGGTGAATAAATAGAAAATCTGAACAGATCATTAATGAGTAAGGAAAGTGATTCAGTAATAAAAAATCCCCCATCAATTAAGAGTCTAAGACAGAATTACTTCCCTTCTTAACACTACCAAATTTATAAATAAAGAAGAATTAATAGCTCTACTTTTAAAACTATTCCAAAAACAAAAACAAAAACAAAACAAGAAAGGAACACTTCCAAATGCATTCCATCACAGCTGCATTACCCTGGTAGAAAACCCAGACAAGGAAACAGAAAGAAGAGAAAACAAGAAAACTACATGCCAAAATTCCTGATGAACACAGTTGCAAAAATCTTTAAGAAAATATTAGTAAACCAAATTCAACAGCACATTAAAAATATCATTCATCGTGTTCTAGAGGGATTCATCCTGGGATGTAAGGAAGTTTCAACATACACAAATCAATAAATGTGACATATCGCATGAATGAAGCACAAAAGCCATAGGATCATTCCAATTTAAGCAGGAAAAGCATTTGACCGAATTCCACATCCCTTCGTGATAAAAACTCCACAAACTTGATATAGGAGGAGTGCACCTCAATACAATAAAGGTCATATATGGTAAACCCACAGGTAACATAATACTGAATGGGGAAATGTTCCAGGCTTTTCCTCTAAGACCTAAAGCAAGACAGAAATGTCCACTTTTGCCCATTCTATCACACATAGTTCTGGAAGTGCTAGCCAGAGAAATTAGGCAAGAAGAAACAAAAGGCATCTAAATTTAAAAGGAAGAATTTAGATTGGCCCTGTTTGCAGATGGGAAGCTCTTACATATAAATAACCCTGAAGACACCACTGAAAAGTTTCTAGGTTTAATAAACAAATTCAGGAAAGTGACACAACACACAAATAACATGCAAGAATCAGTAGCATTTCTATACACCAATACTGAACTATCAGAAAAAGATATCAAGAAACAATCCCATTTAGAACAACTTCAAAAAAAATAAAATAGGAATAAATTTAACCAAGGACGTGAAGGATTGCAACACCGAAAACTATATATAAACCATTGACGAAGGAAATTGAATGAGGCAGGAATGAATGGAAATGTATCATGTGTTCATGGACAGGAAGAATAAATATTGTTAAAATCTCTGTATCCTAAAGAAATCTACAGATTCAATGCAACTCCTATGAAAATACCAATGACATTCTTCTTGGAAATAGAAGAAACACTCCTAAAATTTGTATGGAACCACAAAAGATTTCAGATAGCCGAAGCAGTCTGAAATACAAAGAACAAAGCTAGAGGCATCACACTACATGATGTCAAAACATATGACAAAGCTATAGTAAGCATAACAGCATAGTACCAGTATAAAAACAGATACATCAACCAATGGAGCAGAATACACAGACTGGAATGAAATTCGTGCATTTGCAGTCAACTGATTTTCGACAAAAGGCCCGAGAACACATAATGTTGAGAAAGTACAGTCTCTTCAATTAATGATGTTGAAAATAACTGAATATTCATCTGAGAAAAATGAATTGCCACCCTTATCTCTCAGCATGTATATAAATCAACTCAAAATGACTTAAAGCTTTAAAAGGAAGACACAAACCTATGAAACTATAAGAATGAGACATAGGGGGAAAGCTCCATGACACTGTTCTGGGCAATGATATTTCAAAAATAGGACCTCAAAAGCAAAGGCAACAAAAGAAAACACAGACCAATGGGAGGTTACATCGAACTAAAAAGCTTTGATACCACAAAGGAAACCATCAAAGAGTGGAGAGATAATCTATAGGACAGGAGAAAACATTGGCAATCTATACATCTAGTAAGGGATCAGTTTCCAAAATGTATGAATAACTTCAACAACTCTATAGCAAGAAATCAAATAATCCTATTAAAAATGAGCAAAAGACCTGAATAGACATTTCTCAAAAGGAGACATACAAACGGCCAACAGGCATATGAAAAAACGCTCACCTTCTTTAACATTGGGATAATGCAAATCAAAACCATAGAGGTACCACCTCACGCATGTTAAAATGGCTAACACTAAAAAGAAAAGAGATAACAAGTGGTGGCAAGGATGTGAAGAAATTGGAACGTTTATGCACGGTTTGTGGGATATAAATTGTTACAGCCATTAAGGAAAACAGTATGAAGGTTCCCCAAAATTTTAACAATGGAACTATCACACTATCCACGAATCCCACTACTGAGCATGTATTCAAAGAGAGTGTCATCAGTGTGTCAAAGAGATGTCATCACTTCCATGTTTATTGCAACCCTATTCACAATAGGCAAGAAACAAAAGCAAACTAAGTGTCCATATACGGATGAGTGGATAAAGGAAATGTGGTTTAAATATACAATGGAATACCATTCAGCCATAAAACACAACTAAATCTTGCCATTTGGGATAACATGGATGAACCTGAAGAATGATATGTAAGTGAAATACATCAGTCACACAAAGACAAATACTGCATAGTCACATTAAATTGAGGATTATAAAGAAGTTGCTCTTATAGCAGTGTAGAGTAGAATAGTGATTACCAGATGCTTGGTTTGTTAGGGTGGATGGAGGAATGAGGAGATGTTGAAAGAAGATATAATTACAGTTATAAAGAAGGAACCTTTTTTTTTTAAAATCTAACCCAACTTTCCAATTTATTAAAAATTGAAGGAACCTTTTTTAACTGTCCAGAATGGGCAAATATATACAAACAGAAACTAGATAAGTGATTGCCTGGGACTGGATGTTACAGGGGGAGGGGACTGTTGGGGGAGCACGAAGGAATGGAAAAAGAGTACGAATGGTTATGGAGTTTCCTTTTTGAGTGTTGAAAATGTTCTAAGATTGTTTGTGGTGATGGTTGCCTAACTCTGTGACCAAATTAAAACTACTGTATTGTACCCTTTACATCAGTGAATTGCATGGTCTTGTGACTTATATCTCAATAAATGCTGTAAAAGAATGGAAGACTTAAAGCAAAGGAAAAAGATGGTATCGGACGAAATACTACAAGGGCTTCTAATACAAACTTTCCTGTTAAAAATCTAATTTTCCTACCACAGAGATAGCCGTAAATATCCCTAATGTATAAGTAGTTCTAAGAAAGGAAACTTGCTGTAATCTTATTAAGACCCTTAATAATTCCAAGTGAATGATGAGACTGCTTTTCTCTTCTCATATTTGCAAAGATTCAGATTGATAATATTGCTGTCCTTGCCTATATGGGCAGATGGGCAGTCTCACAGCCTATTGCTGAGAGAATCAATCAGGACAATAGAGCTAAAGAATAATTCCGTAGTAGCCACTGAATGGATAAATATCTGGACTCAGATGACATTGTCAGGACTCCGTAAACTTGCAAAATGTTATTGAATTTTACCCTTAAGAGAGTTTTGTGGTTTGTGAATTATACCTCCACGAAGCTCTTTTAAAAATGTCTACAGGCCGGGCGCGGTGGCTCAAGCCTGTAATCCCAGCACTTTGGGAGGCCGAGACAGGCGGATCACGAGGTCAGGAGATCAAGACCATCCTGGCTAACCCGCGAAACCCCGTCTCTACTAAAAAAATACAAAAAACTAGCCGGGTGAGGTGGCGGGCGCCTGTAGTCCCAGCTACTCGGGAGGCTGAGGCAGGAGAATGGCGTGAACCTGGGAGGCGGAGCTTGCAGTGAGCTGAGATCCGGCCACTGCACTCCAGCCTGGGCGACAGAGTGAGACTCCGTCTCAAAAATAAATAAATAAATAAATAAATAAATAAATAAATAAATATGTCTACAAAGCACATGGTTTGACACAGCAATTCCACTGCTATGAATGCACACTACAGAAAATGTTTTTTTTACCTGATGAAAGAAGTTGCAGGATTATATAGAGTTCAATAATTATTATTGTTACCCATATTGTTTAAAGATTAGAAGAATAGATAAGTAATTTTTATGTTTTAAAGCACAAATCACTACAAATATTAGAACAGAAGAACCTACAGCTTCAGAGGGGTGGGGCTTCAAATTGCAGTTGACATCCACTCTATGGATCACAGCAGAGATGTTGGATTAATATAAGAAAAGAAAGATGCAGAAAGAAACCCCACTGGCATAAGACACAATTCCCAAATTCATGCACATCTCACCTTGATTGCTCTCAATGCATAAAGTGTTTCATTTTCTTCCACAACCACATTAACTTTTTGTCCAACTTTTAGAGGAACGTTGCCAGTCACAACATCACTACTGAAGTAGATCGACTCATCAATCATGCCATAATCACCACAGAAACTTGTGACAACTCCCTGCACAGTTTTCAACTGGGTGTCACCTACAAGGAAAAGAAACAAAAGTTACATTATTAGCTTCAAATGCAAACATCTACTACAAATATGTCTTAAACTCACCATCTGCATAAACCTGGGCAGAGAAGTTTTTTTAATGTCTCTGATCTTGTTTTCATCTGTCAATCCACAGCAATCACAATTTTGCCTAATAGGGTTGTTGTAGATTTTAAAAAATTTATTGAAATTTTAATTTTTAAATTTACAATTAATTTTTAATTTTTTCAGCAGAGTCTGGCTCCACTGCCCAGGCTGGAGAGCAATGGCGCAATCTGGGCTCGTGGCAACCTCTGCCTCCTGGGTTCAAGCAGTTCTCATGTCTCAGCCTCCCTACTAGCTGGGACTAGAGGTGCGTGCAGCCACGCCCGGCTAATTTTTGAATTGTGGTAGAGACAGGGTTTTGCCATGTTGCACAGCCTGGTCCCCAACTCCTGGCCTCAAATGATCCACCCACCTGGAACTCCCAAAGAGCTGGGATTACAGGTGTGAGCCACTGTGCCCAGTTTGTGAATATTAACTGACACATGCACATCAACTGTCTAGAGTTGTGAGTGCCTTGCACAAGAGAGTTATCACCATATCTACATATGAGAGTCTTTAAGCTTCTGCTCCTATTATATCCCTCCATCATTATCACCAACATGAAGAGTAGCACCTTCTATAGATACTTAACCATCTCAGCAGACAAAACACTAAAAGATATCTGGAGATTGAAGCCTAGCCCAAAATAAAGTCTGAATGGTTTTCTTTCTTTTGTCTTCTTCATATTATTATTATTTATTTTTATTTATTTTTTAAAATTCTACACAAGCCTAGCTGATAAGCAACATTTAGGAATCTGACTTCAGCAGTCCGCCCACACAACGGGTTCTCTGCCCTCCTAGGGGATCAGATAAGTATGAGGCGTCCAATTGGCTTCAAATTACATTCCCGTTTGGGATACGAGCCTAAATTCACTCGCAAATTAGGGAGTTTCTCGCCTACTGGAAATATAAATAGGCATGTGCTGCACAACCACGTGGGGAAATAGCACAGGCGGTACAGTCTCCAAGGTCTTCTCTGTCAACACCTCCTCACTTTAGACGGACAGGAGAGTTTGGGGGTTGGTTCTCAGGAACTTGTTGGGGACTCCGGACACCTCCCCATGCACACACAGAAGATGGAGCCGCCGTCATGTGCTGTACCAGCCCGAGTCACCACAGCCTCATGCCAGGGGTGACAGAGCCCCTATTGGGAGGCTTCTGAGGTGGGGGACTAGGGGACACACAGAGGAATACCTTGTGGGAGCCCCTGCTGCTGCGGGCCCTGCTGCTGTGGACCCTGCTGCTGTGGGCCCTGCCGCTCTGCGGGGTCAGCCATCCTCCGGAAAAAGGCCAAAGCAAGTCTCAGAAGCCTGAGCATCGTCCCAGTTATCACCACCAGCCTGGACACCGCTTGTGACAGATGAAGCACAAGACCTCCTCAGTAAAGGAAGCCCTCAGGTCACGGCGTCTCCTCAGGGACTCGCCTCCTGCTTCTCCTCCTCAGCCTCTGTGGGATGGGACCCAGACGTAAGTGAGCCCCCCTCAGGAAAGCCAGGGAAACCGCAGCCACCAAAGGAGCTCACAAGTACCCCTCTGGCTTTTCCCTCTGAGCATGCGCTCATCAGGGCCCACCCTCAACCACTGTCCAGCCAATGCGCGTGCAGTGGGTGGGTGGGCAGGTTCCTGTGGCTATTAAAAGGTGACGGGCGGGAACCTCGTGGCTCCTCCCATCAAGGCTGAGGGCACTGTTAAGACGGCCTGGGGAAAATGGCTTGAGGGCTTGGGTTCTGCGTGTACTCAGGGGATACAGGGTCTTCTTTTGGGTTCCCTGGGAGGATGGGTGCCTGAAACACCGGCTGTGCAACCAAAAATCCTATTCTTGCCCTTGTATTCGTGGTGCTTAGCATAAGGACTTACCACTCAGTGAGTGGCCAATAGTTACTCCTCACCAGGAGTAACTATTTTGTGAAGAGAAGGCACCATGTGGGTAGTCAATGTTTTAGTGATGGCAAGTACGTGTCTTTTGTACTAGGACTCCCATTTTGAGTCCAGTGATAATTTATAATAGAATCCTTTTATGATCATTGCTACCATGTACACATCGCTTACCTATTTATACTTACATTACTCTGCTGTACACATTACCCTTATTCATTCATTTGGCAAAATTTGTGAAGTGCTGTGAGCCAGACACTGTTCTGTGTTCTTAAAGTTTGTTAGTGAATGAAAGAATCAAGAATCTTCGCCCTGTGAGGGTAGATTTTTCACAGGATACAAAAGGGAGACACTAAACATCACATAATAAAATATATGATATGTTAGAAGGCAAAAATGCCATGGAAAAATATAGCAGGACAAGGGGAATCCACAGTACTGGGAATGGTGCATTGGATTGCAGTTTATAATAGCATGGTCAGAGTAGCCCTCATTGGAAAGTAATAGTTGAGAAAGATGTTGGAGTTAGTCAGGCAGCTGTATTTGGTGAAGCCATTCAGATGGAGGGCTCAGTTTGTGCAAAGACCATACAGCAAGACTGTGCCTGATGTGTTCAAGGAAAGCCAAGTGGTTGGAGCAGAGGCAGTGAGGGTTAGAAGAGTAGGAAGTATGGTAAGAGAGGTAATAGAGGTTCAGGCTGCATGTGGGACAGTGGGACACTGGATGTTCTTTGGCTTTTATTGCCCATGATGTGTAAAGTCCCTGAAAGGTTTGGAGCCTCCCAGGGATCACTCCAGATGCTTGGTTGTGAATAGGCTGGAAGAGGTCAGAGCATGAAGCAAGTGGAACAGTTCGGATGATTCTGCTGCAATTCATGGGCACTGTGGATGAAAGCTGTTTGTCTTTCCTCTCCTGCAGTGAGAACAGGTAAAAGTATTGCCAAAGATGATCATCTTGTTAATGGTATTGGTTGAGGGTTATCTATGTCTCAAAATATAACACAGCTGTGTGAATTTCCTAACGAGGCCAAAAAACATTACTACACCTTTGTGGCTTAAAACAACAAAAATTTATTCTCTGGCAGTTCTGCAGGCTATGAGTCTGAAATCAAGGTGTCAGCGAGGTTGGTTCCTTCTGGTGAGCTCTGAGGGAGAGTCTATTACAAGTTTCTGGAGGTTGCCAGTAGTCATTGGTGGCTTTCCTTGGGTTGTAGATACATCACTCCAATCACTTCCTCCTTCATCCCATGGTGCTCTTCTCCATGTGTCTGTGTGTCCAATATCCCTCTTCTTATAAGGACACCACTCACTGGATTAGGAGTTTATGACTAATCCTAATGCTGTAGGACCACATCTTAACTTGATTTTTTTTTTTTTTTTTTTTTTTTTTGCAAAGAACCTATTTCCAAATAAAGTCACATTCATAGTTATTGGGGCTCACAAATTGAGTATATGTCTTTACGGGCAAAATTTAACCCACAACAACTGCTCTTGTACATTTTGATTACTCCAATATTCTACGATTGTCTGAAAAGTAGAACACACAGATAAGCAGACATTTCCTCTTATTTCTCAGAGAAAACAAAGGTCGTGAGACAGGAGCTCCTCTGTGAACCTCCTGGCACCCATCCTGGCTTTCTCTTCCTTCTGTCTTGTAACAATGGAAAGACATCGCAGCCCCTGGCCAGAGCAGACACTCCACTGAGCACATGGAACCATTCTCTTGACACATTTTCTCTGAGGATGTTGCTTCTATTATGACTGCCTCTCTTCCTCCTGCATCAACAATCTTTTTTTAAATCTTTGCCTCTAATGGAATAACATACACACATAGACAAGAATCACTCATCTTAAAAACTTCATAGACAAACAACTCCCTTCTATAAAATGTACATGGATAAATAAGCTTCCTTGGCCTCACTTCCCCTTCAGTCCCATTCCTGTTCCTCCTGCCCCCCACAGCAAATGCTATTTCAAGAATCACCTCTGCTCACTTCCTGAGCTCCCATTCCCTCCTTATTCCTCTGGCATCAGGCTTTTATCCCCGTCAGGCCCCTAATTTGCTCTTAAAATGACAGGAAACCTCCAGGTCGCCAAATCCAGTGGTCAATATACGACTCTCATCACTCAACCTTACTGTTTGACCCCGTTAGGGACTCCCCATTTCTTGAGATAAGTTCTTCAGTCTTTTGCGTGACCACCCTATCCTAGAAAGACTCCTTCTCAGCCTCTTTGTCGAGATCTTCCTCCTATCAGGATCCCACAAGAGTGCTCTAGGTCTCAGGCCCTGAATGGCTTCTCTATCCACACGCCAGCCCCATAGCATCTAAATGCAGGTAACTTCCAGTCCCATGTATATACTGAGTCACACACTTGGTGGTCCCATAGACATCTCAAGGGTAAGGTGTCCAAAATTTCACATGTCCGGAGCTTCCATCAACCCTCATAGCTCCTTAAATCTTCTCCATCTCAGATGATGTCAGCTCAGTTCACACAGTGGGTTAACATCATATCCCTGCCAAAATCCTTAGTTTTCTCCATTTTCTTTACACGCTCCATGCCATCCATCAGTGAAAACTATCAATCTTTGAAAACATACCTGTAGTCCCACCACCTCTAAAGAGTAATTGAAAAACAATCATTGGGTCAAATTTGTTAGTTTCTATCATGACACAGAAGAAAGCAGCCAGAATCAAAGAGAGATCAGCCACTCAGACACATGAAACGATGCCCAAAACTCTTCTCTGTCCCTGCTGGCAAAAATAGAGTTAATAATGGATGTTGCAGCAAGAGATTGGTGCTAAGAAATAGCCTTAGAAAAAGGTAAGAAATAGCCTTCTCTGGCAAACTTCGCTAAGTAAGACTCAGCCTCCTCTGCAGGGGTCAAACTTGCTGGTAGAGAAGCTACAGGTAGATTCCAGCACCAGGAAGACAAGTCTCTGCTGAGAGAATACTGCAGAACAAAGAAGGGGCTCTTCTATACCACCCTGCTGAAAACATTGTGAATGATCTCTTGTGGTGGCAGGTGCCTCCAGAGGCTGGGAACACATCAGATAAGAAATAGCTGCTGGACTTGAGTGTCAGGGGATGAATTCCACTGGGCCACAGAGCAGTTGTGTGCCCTCTCTTTCCTGTTTGTGTCTCTGACTTGGCTGTAGAATGTTTCACCCTCAAATTAGGGAGACTGACTCACACTGAAAATATTGAAAACAATGTGTCCGTGGTCACTGCTATCAAAAACCTCTTATCACAAACACCTGCTTACTTTTCTTTATGTCACTAACTGCTAGACGGAAATTCTTACTTATTCATATGCTTGTCAGAGTGTTGTCTGTCTCTTCACCCTTGTGTATCAGCTTCGTGACTGCAGAGCTTTTGTTCATTGTTGCTTTTTCTGTCTGCTGGGGCCTCAGCATCTGGAACAGTGCTGGGCACATGGTACGTTCTCAATAAATACCGCAGCAAATAATCAAATCAGGAAAGAGTAACATCCTGAACCGTTCCAGGCAACCTGTGAGAGGATCTGGTTTTAAGGCAAATCACACCAAATCTGAATACTTTGCTTTCCTACATGCATCTATCTAAACAGTATTTGGCCTCATTCAGGGTAATGTTACAGCTGGCTGTAAAGGTAAGAGCTGTAGTTCGGAAGACATTAGATCCCGGCTCAACTCAGTTTTTTCCTGGCTTTACAACCTGTCCTCAGAAGTCTGACCACAGCGACACTTGTAAGTAAAATCGGCCAATAAATTGGGTTTTCTTGCATGTCAGTGATTTAGTCTCCCTTGTGTACATGAGTTGTGCCATGGAATACAATGTTACTCCTTCTGTTACAAAAGCTACACTGGAAATAAGTTTTGGATTAGTGTTTAGACAAACGTTTCTTTAAGAATAGTGTGACAAGGCTTTAGACGACCTGTACCAATACATACATTATTCATTATGATTTAATGGATGGGGGCAATTCCCATCCATGGGAATTTTGGGATACTCATGCGATGGCAGTTTTCCCAGTTCATACCTTTGTTTTTCAAAACACAATAAGTGTATGGATTGCTTTTATTTGTCACATAATGTCAATGTCAGCTCTCTGTTGTCTTAGCTTGGTCTGCTATAACACAACACCACAGACATTTATATCGCACAGTTCTGGAGGATGTGAGGTCCAAGAAGAAGGTGCTGACTGATTCGGTTCTGGGCAAGGGCCCTCTTTGTGGCTCAAAGATGGTCACCTTGTCGCTATTTCCTTCCCTGGAGGAGTTGGAGCAAGTGCTGACTTCTTTTCCTCTTCTTCTAAGGATTCAAATCCCATTATGGGGCTCTACTCTCATGACCCCATCTAAGCCTAATCGCCTCCCAAAGGCCCCACCTGCATATATGATTACACTGGGGATTATGGCTTCAACAAAGGAATTTTTGGGGAACACAGATGTTTAGTCCCCCTAACCACTGTGAGGTATGTTCTTTATGCTGTCAAAATTACTTGTACCATTTGTTTTCTTTTTTTTTCCTTTTTTTTTTTTTTGAGATGGAGTCTTCCTATGTCACCCAGGCTGGAGTGCAGGAGAGTGATCACATCCAGCTAAATTTTCTTGTATTTTTACTAGAAATGAGGTTTCACCATGTTGGCCAGACTGGTCTCAAACTCTTGACCTCAGGTGATTCCCCCTGCCTCAGCTTCCCAAAACGCTGGGATTACAGGCATGAGCCATCAAGCCTGGTCACATTTTGCTTCCTTTCAATGGAACTTCAACAACAAAGTTATGCTTTTCACCCTTTGTATAGACAGTAGGCCTTCAACTATTCAGAGGATTTGGGGAATGAAGTTTCTAATTCACATCATTTAGGGTTAACTGGGGCAATGCTCTTAGGAAAGTGAAACAGCTGTAAGATGAGGTGAACTAACTTCCTCCCACTTATGAGACCAATACGAGTGCTAACTGATCAGAGTCCTCAGTTGTGGATGTTTAGACCGATAGCCCTTAACCAACCCCAAGACTTCACTCTTCTGGCCAGGCCAGCAGATCTGGAAAGAAACTCATGAAGCACTTAACCCAGGCTGTCCTGGGTGACTATTACCATGAAATGGTGATTAAAAGCTAGTTCTGTGAGGAGTTCCAAAGGCAACGGAGAACCTTTTTCTCTAGCCCTCCCTTCCCTGGAAACCAGGGTATGCAAGCTTTAGGAAGGCAGGCAGGGAACCTGCCAAAAAATGGTTCCAAGGAAGCCTCCTGTAAGCCAGGGTCCATGAGAAGAGGGAGTTAGAGGACAGATGGAAGGGTACCCAATGTAGGAGAGCATATATGGCAGGATTGTGCAAAGAAGTAAATACACAGAGGTTAATGGAAGGTAGGGTTCTCCAAAGCTGAGAAGGAAACAATACACGTGGAAATGTGGAAAGAGAGGAAAACTGAATAAACTCTATATTTCTGGGCTGTTACTGGAGGTTTACGTGCAACCTCAAGTTCACCAAAAGATGTAAGAGGTTCAATTCGAAACACCGTATTCTCCAACACCAAGGGAATAGGGATCCTTGTAAATATGGCTGATTAAGTAGAATTTGAAATTTTGACAAAACAGAGAACTACACACTAAGCATAACTAAGAGGAGTTGTTTACATTCACAGAGCATATGCCTTTGGCAGATGTACAGTTAAAGATTTATGCATCCCACAAGAGGAGTGAAATGATGAACCAGAACCTCTGAAAGCTACAAGTGGTTAGAGGATGAAACCACGATCATGATGAGAGACTTCAAGGTGCCTCTTTGATTAACAGTGTGCATAATAATAACAACAAGAACACCGGGTTCAATCTATTGGGCCCTGATTAAGCTCTGGGTACCTAAACAGAACTTTATGTTTTGAGAATCATTGCAGGCATCAGGCCAGAATTGGCAGAAGGGCCAGAGCTTGCCAAACCTGGCTAAAGATCATTATCTTATTTCGTTTTCTTCATTGCATGTATCTCTAAATGAGCGGAGAAGCATCTGATATCAGCACATCTGCAACACCTTCATGGTGTGCCAGTTGGAAGCTCCGTGGCAGAACACTGGAGTCCCAGAAACTCGTGGTGACAGGTCCCTGTATTTTCAAGCCAATTCCTTCGCATGTGAGAAAAGCACATTTCTGACAGAGTCCACTATTTCCTATTCCCTGGGTCCTTCTGTCCTTGTGCCATGAGGGCATATATTTAGGGACACAGATGTGATGAGGGTGAGATGATCAAACACAATTCATTCTCAGTTGTGGGAAAGAACCCTGGAGTTAATTCATCTCTGAGGCAAAATATTCAAAATGCACCGCCGCTTGGTCTGCCTTATGAAAGTGAAGCAGTTCTGGGCTTTGCTATTTGAAAGTAGAGGAAATGCATCCAATCCCCACCACCTGCCCAGCTGAACTGCTGCCTCCCAGGTGATCCTCAGTCCAGTGAGGAAGTTTGTGAAACAGCGGCTGTGACTGAATCAGCAGCTGATTGGGCTTATCATAATGCATTATAACTCCCAGAGACCATTCTTCCACATCAACCAAACTGCAGAATTAAATGGGAGGTAGTGGAAGTCATGGCCCTTGCATCTCTCAAGTCTAACGTGGACTGCTCTGTAATTCCACAGGGTGTGGGGCTGCTTTTGAATGATGACATTCACAGGCACCTGGTGTTGCCACATCTCCCGCTTGCCCCTTTCAATCATAGGAGCTACTGCTGCATGGGTCAGGAAGCCAAGGACGGTTAGGGGGTGGGGGCATTGAAAGAACACAAGTTCCATTAGGGCCTGGAATTTTGTCCTTTTGGTTAAGGGTATAACTCTAGAGCCTCAACAGTGCCTGGCACCCCAAAGAGAGTCAGTAGGATTTTGTGGAGTGAACCAGTGAGTGAAAATGGGAACTCTACGAGACCTTCACTGTTCCTATCAAGTGGGAAACAAATCCCTGGATGATTGGGAGGTCTCACTGGATCTGTAGTGGAAAGTTAAAACACAACTCTATTTAAGGACCGGGGGTAATGGTGGAATTATGAATCACAGGACTCAGGGTAAGTTCACAACCACATTCAAGCTATGCCCATAAGTCTGAATACATCCCTTCCCCTAAGTCACAGTTACCCAGTTAACTGTTCTGTTAGACGAAAGCATGAAATTTCATGGGATGTATTTGTTGCATTTTAGTATAACCCTTCCTGGTGGGTAAGCAGGTTGTCCTTCCTTCAAAAGCTCTGTGTTTGTATTTTTCTTCATGACTGCACATGAGCTGCACCCCTGCAACAAAGTGGCTTACAGAGGCTCATTTGCAGCAGAGTCTGTTTCTATGGTTGTTGGTGTTGTTAAAAAGTCAACAGAGGTCTTAATGCATTGCTCAACAATTTTATTACTAAGGAACCAGTGATGAATGAAACACAGCTAAATATCATTGCTGGCCCAATCATTCAGTCATTGAAGTTAATAACATTTTATCTGCTCCTTGAGTCTGTGACACCTTCTTCTAAGTGTTGGTGATGCTTTAATGAAAGAAAAAAGAAAAAGAAAAAAAGAAAAAACAGACCAAAACACATCCTGCCATTGTGGAGTTCACATTCTAGCATGGGGAAGAAGGAACACAAGGAAACAATAAACATTGCAAATTATGTGAATGACAGAAGATGAAAGAGGCTATGGAGCAATACAGATTGTACAGACAGCATAAGGGGGACTCAAAACTGAAGTTAAATTGTAACTTTAAATCATGCCTTTAACATGCTGTCCCTGCTGCCTTTTCAGTTAAATGCTTTGGCTCTGAGGTTCCCTTTAGGGCCGCCCTAGGCCTCCGCCATCCTGAATCTGCTACTGCTAATGGGAAACATGGAATTCAAATTTAATGGCAGTGTTCATTTTAATTAAGAACTCCTTTCCTCCAGTGCCTAGCAAGCTAATTTAGCATGCTTTTTAATTGATAAGTTATTTCCCTAAGCTGGGTTCATGGTCCAATTGAACTAGCCAGTATCTCAATTAGATTTGCCGGAAAAGCCATATGTAAAATACTATTTAGGCTTACTAAGCTAACCTTTTCAGTTAAACCAGCCCCTTTACTGCTCATAGAAGGAAAGATAAACAGAATAAAAAAAGCTTTGTCATTACAATTTTTGTGCTGGGATGATAGAAACCGCTCTCCACCTAAAGCAGAACTGAGTGCTCTCCACCATAACCACATTGACGATATCATCTACTTTAGGTACATATCCATCAGGAAGTTTCACAGAATCCAAGGTGAAAAAGATATTATTACTTATCACCCCATTTCTTCCACGTATGTGAGTAACACGGACCTGTGAGTATAAATAATGGAAATGATTATGAGAAAGCCCAATAATCACTGTAAACAGCTGTTCACCTCCTCACTCTGGGTCCTGCAGGTCACTTCGATGCAAATCAATAATTCCCAACCTGGTTGACCTGTTGCTAACACCAGGGGTGCTTTGTAAGGATCCCCGTGTCCACGCTCCACCACAGACCAATTAAATCAGGCTCTCCAGGGATGAGGCCTGGGTCTCTGATGAGAAATCCTGCTCTAAATATTACCAAAATATGTCCATTACCCTCTATTGCCCTGAATTTCCTGGTCATATTCAGGCTCCAACACCCAAATCATTCTCAGCATTTACTGTTAAGCTCAAGTCCCACAATACACTTCGTTCATTCTTTCCCTACAATTTTCTGGCACAAAGATTGTTTTTCTTCCTCCTGTTGTTGGAAGATTCTAATAACATTTGGGTATCGAGTAAAATGCACAATTTAGAACTTAATCAATTAATGTGCTTGTTCTACATAATTCTCAAATTATTTCCTTTGGGAAGTCCTGCCTTTTCAATAAGGAAAGTGGCTCCTTTGTTGGCAAAGAATGTATTTCTTCATATTTTCTGGAATTCCCATTACACCAAACAGAATCTTGGGCATGAAATTTATCATGAAAGGAAGGGTTTGCAGAAACCGATGATGGGAGCAACAGGAAAGAAATTACCTCTTCCGCGTGAATACAACGGGTGGGCTTCACAGAGCTTGCCTTGAAGTTTGAGAAGCCTGGTTCAGTGGAATATTCAACTTTTAACCAGTCACCCTTATAAGGCACAAAATCTAAAACAGCCATGGAGAAATGAGAGTGTCATGATCTCTTAACTAGGTCATTTGGATTTCACACGTTATTTGATAGTGTACTACTTTAAAGTCAGTTCTGCAACATCTAAAGTCATTTTTGCACACATTTAAACAGACACACTGTAAATCTCTAAGCCCGAAAAGAAGTTTATAATCCTTAGGCACTGATTCTCCTCTGCTGATTTAACAAAGTCAAATGGAGGAAAGTGTGAACTGTACATCACAGCCAATCTAAGGGAGCAGCACAAGATTTACTAAACAACTGTTCGTGTTCACAATTGCTTAGTGAGAGGCAGTCAAACATGTAGATAAGAGCACAAGTTTAAACCTGCTTACATGGCTTCGAATCTTGACACTGCCACTCACTCAGTTTGCAACCTTAGCCAAGATGTTTAATCTCTCTGTGCCTCATTTTCTTCATCTATAAAATGAGAAGCACGGTAAGTAGCCTTCAAGATACTGAGCTGCTGTGACACTTAATAGATATTGTTGATACACACAGAATCATCACTGGTGCATAGTAACCACCAAATAACTGTTGATTGGTAGTAGTGGTAGCAGTACCACTAGGAAATGTTGTTACTTTCAGAATGAATCCATTCCCCCTAGTGTTGTGTTCCACTGATGAACTCTTAAATCTGTGCCTTCAGGGTTACCGTTAAGACCATCGAGGTTGAAACACAAGTTTACGATAAGTTAAAACTGACTCAAGGATAACAAAGGTACTGAAAGAATCTGGAGCAGATGGAAATCCCAACTGCAACTGAGACAGTAAATTGCCACAATGACTCCAGAAAACTAGCAATATCAACAAAGTGAAACATTTCTTCACCTTAGGATCCAGCATTGTAGTATGACACAAGACACCACGTTAGACCTCTTCTCTCTCTCTCTGTATCTGTTAATTTACATACATTTCTTTTGTGTGGGTGTACCACATATCTATGGGCCAATAACTCCAAAATGTATATGCCTCCAGCTCTAACCAACTTCAGGATCAATTATCCTTATGCTTACGCCAATCTAACATGTGTAAAGCTGAGTTGTTGGTATTCTCCGTATTCACCAACTTTTGTCTGCCTCAGACGTCTACATTGCCAACTGGCAACTCCACCCTCACCACTGCTCAAACAAGAAACTTTGGAGGTACCTTGGACTCATCTTTCCTCCACATCAAAGATCTAATCCATTACCTCCTGGGTTCTTCTCTAACTTCAAAATATATCCAGAGTCAACTCAATCCTCAGGTCCTCCACTTGTCCACTTTCATTCACATCTCCATCATTTCTCACCAGGAATATAACAACGGTTTCCTGACTGATTTCGTGACTCCACCCTCTCCCTCATAGTCTCTTCTCGACAAAGCAGACAGAGTCAACATCTTAAAACAAAATTCAGGTCAGAGTCCTGCTTTTGCCCCCAAGAAAACAAACGAGCCAGCTGCCTGTGGAAACGGAGTTAATCTCCCTTTTTACACCCAAGCTATACAACTGTTGCAATGGACAAAAATAGCCAAAAAAAGTGTATCTGTGGTTATAAGCAAAACATTAGAACATATCTGCTGATTACAAAGAGAATTCAACACACACACACGCACACACACACAGCCACAAAGCACTATCTCCAATCCTAAATTTGAAGCATTTGAAGTGTATTCTTTTAAAATTTGGTACTCCACCCTGTCACAGAAACTTCTCAAGTAACCAACTACAGAAATGATCCCTGCAAGCATAGTCTCTGAAGGGTATTAAAAATAGCGTCTCTGGGTACTTGTAGGATTGTTTCCATGATTAGAAAATAAATTCTTCTGTGAATGAAAATTATATACAGGCATTACTGAGGGTATTGAACAAATGAACACACAATAGATGACAGCAGACATTTTAAAATACTGCCTATTTGCCCCTATATTGTACATAATTTTAATTGGAAAGGTCTACCTCGAATATTGAAGAGCCATTGACTGAAGCCAAGTACACTGTTAAATTTGTTCTAGGACTAAAATCCTCTCAAAAAATTAAGAATTACATCATATATCACAAAACGCAAATCATACCTTCAGAAAAAATGTCCATAGGGAAATAAATGATGTTACTAATATAAATAGTATCTTCACTTATAGAAGCAACACATCCATTTAAAACTCTGAGTTTTGAGTCTGAGGATCCATTACCGTTAAGAGGGTGAGGCACAACATCCACCTGTAAGATTTAGGAAAGAGTTACTTCGAAAATAATACAAATTTAAGCACAGGAACTTACATGGTTAAAACACTGGTATTCCAAAATGTTTTCAAAAACCATCCTAAACATTGGTGAATATAGTTCATGTGCTAAATGGCCATAGACTGGAGATAATGGTAAAAATCATGTGTGTGCCTTATGAATTGTGAAATGTATCCCAAAACATTAATTGCATACCCAAGTTTAATGCCCTTGTACCATTAGATTCCCAGATTTAAAAACTACTGTCGTTCGCCTACAGGAATTCACAGTGAAATGACGGTAAAGTGGAAAGATATGTAGTCATAAGCAGGTTGCGATGAAGGATATAAAACTTGTTCAAAGATAGTTTCTGTGACTTATCTAAAGGGAGAGCATTTCAGACAGGGAGAAAACAGTGGCATTGCTTGGGGGAAGTCAGATTTGTGTTGGGTTGTGAAAGAAGACAGAGGTGTAACCTTGTAAACAGGGGTAGAGGAGCAGGGAGGCAGAGAGGAGATACAACACAATTAAGGAGCCTAGGGAGCAAAACCCTAACATTCGAGATGCAGGTCTAGGAGACAGAAGCATGAGATAAAGTTGGAACAATAACCTCAACTGGGGGAGGTTGAATAAACCAAGCCAAATTAGGGCTTTACTTTATCTACAATAGAGAGGCATACAAACCTTTTTCCTTATTGGAAGTGTAATAGTCCTTATTTTATAATTTTTAAAACTTACAGAAATAATGCAAGTTCATTGTACTAAAAATAGGAAAAAAACAAACCAGATATGCAGACAGCAAAACGCGGTTACCCCATAATCCATATTCCATTACCAAGAGACCACCAGGGACTACATTTTGGCAGTAACACTCATCCTGATATTTTTGTCTATGCACAAATATATATACATATGTAAATGCCTGTTTTAAAAGCAAATTAGCATGGTATTCAGTATTAAAGTATCACATTAAATTAACACAAAGGTTTTTAAATAACAAGAAAGGACAGAAAGAGTCATAGGGAATCCCAATTAATGGATGTGCCATAATTTACTAACCCAATTCCACATAATTAGACATTTCACTTGCGTCCTAGCATTTGGACTACTTGCCTGACTGAACTATAGGATAAACTCCTAGGGTTGGAATTTGCTGATCAAAGACTTCTGATGGAAACTTGAGCCACTGAGTTGTAAATAATTTTCCATGGTTTTAAAGATAGCTTAGTTTGCTGCTATTCCCATTTCTTAACTGGTGTCCTTCCAGCTGTCAGTACCAATCTGATGTTTATTTTCCCCTCACTTCCTGTCATAAGGGAATGAGGCATTAGCCTCCCGTCCACGTATCTACCACCACTTCCGTCAGTATCCAATGGATGATCCACGCACCCTCGGACCTCTTTGTTCCTTGACTCCACACCAACTCACAGACATACTGCAGACTAAAGCTTTGCCCATGTTTCATGGCTCCCAACACTGTTTCTTATGCCTTGGAAATACCACCAACACAACAGCAGGTACAAACAGATGGAAATGTTTGCAATAATGCATTGCATGTCATAAGTGGCATTTCAATAAAATAGGGTCAAAGTGGATTATCCTATTAATGTTGAGGGACAATTGAGTAGCCAGTAGGGAAACAAGACACGGATCCTTCTCTCAGTCCTGAACACGGAAAGCAAACCCAGGCTGATGTATGTTTAGATATCAATAAATTAATGACTTTCAGAAGAAAAGTTAAGTGAATACTCGTGTAAATTATGTGTTAGAATTAGCCTAAGGAAACTTCCTGAACCCAGAAGTCACATGGACAAGATGGACATATTTATAGTATGTAAAAATTAAACAGATGGAGGAGGAGGGGAGCAAGATGGAGAAATGGAACTGTCCAGTGATCATCCTCCTGCAGAAAATCAATGTGAAAAACTATCCTTGTATGAAAATAATGAAAGGAATAAAAATTAGAAACTTAATAAAAATTAGAAACTTAAGTTAGGCCATTTTGAAACTTAGAAAAACAACCCACTCAGACCCACCCAACACCAGATGGCCCCTTAGTAAACACCCAATATCCCCGGAACGCAAACAGAAAAACAATTCCAGGAAAAACCCCTCATACGAGCCCACCCCAACCAATCAGAGAACTAGCCTACTCCAACCAATCAGAAAAGACACACCCTGCTCGCACCATAGCTGGCTCCAATCATTTTGAACCTTAAGCCTTGTTTGAATCTCGCGCCTCAAGCTTTGTTTGAATTTCGCGCCTTGTTTGAACCGGTGGTGTTTGCCTATATAAACTACCTGTAACAAGCAATCGGGGTCCTTTGCCACCTTTGTGCAGAGGACCCTAGCGCGCTAGTAATAAATCTCTCTGCTGTGACTCCCGTGTTGAGTGGTCTCTCGAGACGACCCCCTATCCCAGGAAGGAATCTAAACCTAGGTTCCAACAATACCATCACTTGAGAGAAGGAAACCAGGTGAGAGGCCATGGTACCCGGTTATAGCATGAAAATAAGAAAAGATGCATTGAAGACGGTAGTAAAGACAGTTTTACATTACCCATATCACCCCCTCCCCAACCTTCAACAGCACAGCATGGAGACAGATACCATCCACCTGGAAGACAGAGAGAGTGGCAAGCATAGGACATTGCCTGAGAACCCAGTATCAGGCCTTCCACACTATACGCCACCACTTGACAAATGCCCATGGCACGTGGCCCCAGATGCTGAGATGGTACTTGTGGATCAAGTCTCTAGACCCACCCTGGCACCAGACAGGAAGCCGCAGCCACATCAAAACAAACTCAATACCTGGCCCACATCTCTGCCAGTGATTCTACTGGCCTTATGCTCAGAATATTCTACAGCAACAGGGAGTCCTCTGAATGGAGCCTTGGATTCCAGACTCTCAAGGCACCAGCCTCGATAGCTAAGGGAATGCATGCCATTGTAGCATCTGTCGCTGTGTCTCAGGGATTAGGAAGCCCCCAAGTGCTTCAATAGCTGCAGTGTTCACAAACATAAGGACCAAAAGAGACCTATATAGAGTTTCCGGACAGGCTTACTGCTAAAGGATGTCCCCTAAAAACTAGACTGCAAAGACTGAAATGAATACTTACTTCTTCAACACACGGATATAAACACATGACCACAAAGATTAAGAACAATAAGGAAAACATGACATCACCAAACTGACAAAACAAGGCGCCAGCAATTGACCCTAGAGAGATAGGAATGTATGAGTTGTTTAACAAATAATTCAAAATATCTATTTTCCACATGCTATGTGAACCTTGAAAATAATTACAGAGAAATGATCCAGAATTTATCAGAGTAATTTGAAAGAAAGATTGAAAGAATTTTTAAAAAAAAACAAATCAAAAAGTCGAAAAATACAATGAAAGAAGTACACAATAGAGAACATCCACAGGAAAATTGATCGAGCAGAATAAAGAATCTGTAAACATGGAGACAGCTTCATTAAAAATATACAGTCACAGGAGACAAAATTAAAAGGAAGGACACGGAATGAAAAAAAAACTTACTGAATTTCTGGGACAATTATCAGCAGAGCAATAGTATGAGTCATTCATATTCTAGAGGGAGGAATGAAAAAGAGGTAGAAAGGTTATTTAAAAAATAATAATAGGGAACCATCCAAACCCAGAGAAAGTTACAAACATCTAGGTACTGGACGATCAAAGTTCTGCATTCAGATACAATCCAAATAAGATTACCCCATGACATATTAAAATCAAACTCTCAAAGACGAAAAATAAAGAAAAAAAATCCTGAGAGCAGCAAGAGGAAAGAAGCAAATCACATATAAGGCAGTTCCAATATGCCTACCAGAAGACTTCTCAGCAGAAGCATAACAGACTGGGAGAGAGTGTGATGATATATTCAAGGAGATTAAGGAAAAAATGTCTAACCAAGAATAATGTACCAAGGAGTAAAGGGGAGATAAAGACTTTTACAGAGAAATCATAGCTGAGGAACTTCCTCACCACCACAACTGTCTTACAAGAAATCCTATGGAGAGTTCTTCCCACTGACGTAAGGGATGCTAATGATAATGCAAAAATATCTGAAGGTATAAAACTCACTATTAAAAGTAACCACACACATTCACAATATTCTATTAAGGTAATGGTGGTGTCCAGATCACGTATATCTTCCATGTAACGGTTAAAAATGGAACTAGTAAAAATAAAATACGTACAATAATCCGTTAAGGGATATAAAATATAAAAAGTTGTAAAGTGTAAAATAGAGAACTCAAAATCTGGGCATGGAGTTAAATGGTAGAGTGTTGGTATTTTGTGATCAAAGTTATATGATCAATAAATCAACTGTCGTGATTATGTTTTTGTAAGCCTCATGCTAACCACAAAGAAAAAATCATGTAATAGACACATTTTAAAATATCAAGGAAACAAAACATACTAATAGAGAAAAATCTCTTATCCATCAAGACAGACAGTAAAAGAGAAAGAAAGGAAGAAATTACCTACAAAATAAGTAGAAAAAAATTATCTAAATGACAACAGTAAATCTTTACCTATCAATAATTAACTTGATAGAAATGGATGACATTCTTCAACTAAAATACACAGAGTAGCTGAATGGATTTAAACAACAACAATAACAACAACCAAACCTAGGAGAGACCCACTTCTCCTTAAAGGACATTCGTAAACTGAAAGTGAAGACATGAAAAAAGACATTCTTCCATGTAAAGGGAAACCAAAATAGAGCAGGAGCAGCTAAACTAATTTCGAATAAAATAGGCTTTAAATCACAAACTGTGAAAAGAGACCAAGAAGATCATTATATAATGGTGAAGGGGTCAATTCATCAAGAGGATATAATGATTTCCAAAAATATGCACCCAACATAGCAGCACCTAAACATATGAAGCAAATATTAAGGTCCAAATGCTGAGATAGAGTGCAATGCAATAATAGTAGGGGACTTCAACACCCAGCTTGCAGC